ACTGCTTGTAATAGGTGTGATATGACGCTACATCCGCTGTTAGAAATCTGCCAGTAATGTATCGAAACGTCTTAGTAGAGTGGCTTAGCCCACAGACTGCCGATTTTTAGTATACTCTAATGATGGGATCCACATATTGGATCAAACTGAGTAAACTATTTCACACTTAAGGAGTTTGAAACCGGGTTATTTTATGCCCTGAACGGGAAAACCCGAAGTTCTATTTATTATATTATCGTAGAAAGTTAACTAAACAAAAACAACAAATTTGGGTGAAATGCTGCCAATTGATTTATTGATCTTACGATACAATCAATTTTCGAACTATAGATATTCAAACATAATTCATTCGTTAAATCCAATAGAGCGAATTAACATAAAAACTGGAAGATAAAACTACTGTTACAGCCTTTCCTTATGATAGCTTGATCTGCGCGTAACTTAAAGACTACCTCTGATTCTTCTTATGTTATTTTCACTAGTAATAGAATTTACTTTATATCAACAATTATTCCCATACCTTTTCTGTTGTTTGGTCACAGATAATTATTGACTCTTATTAAGATTCAAGAAATCTCGGTATTCCTAAACAGGTAAGTTACAAGTGTTACTCGTTTTATAATTTTGAAAACAATTAACACGATTTCTGTTATTCCTTAGGTGGGTGAAAACAGTAAAATATTAAGAAAAGCGAGTTGAAAATTTACAGACAGCACTTTTATTAATTAATTACGTGCACAACGATTTAATGTAATCAAATAAAAAGTGTTGATTTTTTTACATTATTTCCGTATTTCTTATTTCATAAAACAGAAGTTATCACTGTTTTTGGATAAACCAAAAGCAGAAAAAGTAGCACTTTCAAAACAAGCTTTGCGTTTTCATTTCCAGGCTTAAAATAAGACTGCACAATGTTATTAGTCTGCCAAAATGAAATATTTCAAAGCGTTAATATTAAAGACCGAATTCCTTGAAGTGATGCAGGGAAACCGAACGTGCGACTAGGATTAAATTACTTTTGCAACAGTCTATATATCATCACAAATGCAATTTTTCTGAAAGTCTGTTTTATAAGAAATGGTAGAAACTCAATAACATGACTCAAACATTACGATTAGTTTCGGATGAAACCACATTTTAATGTGCAGCATAAGCCATTTTTTAAAGCACTCATAGGTAGTTTAAAATATATTATTTGTTAGAAAATGTTCTCATCACAAATAGAGACATTGGAAAAGGAAACAAACAAGATGTAAACAGTAGTGTAAATCTTGTACGAGGAAAGTGTGTACAGTTACAAATAAATATCAAAACTTACCAAATATTTCTTGATGTGTATTTCAAAACAAAGAAAATAACGAACGATTATCGTTCTATTGTCAGCATTCTGAATATCTACAATCACGCAGTATCCAAGCATTTCTAAAAGTGCCTAACAGTGTGACACGGTGCTCCATCTTCCTGGAACAACGTTGTGTTCTTGTCCACGAAACCCGAGAAATAAAGTTGCAAGAGTCCTTCCTCCAATATTTCGACGTATTTCGCAAAATTTATGTTATAGATCTGTAAAGATCTATCAGTGTACCAAATTTGAAAAAAAATTCATAAATCCAAATAAATTTCCGTACTTTTGGTTCGAAGATAAAATAGGAAGAAAGGCAATCAAAATTGTAGATGTTATATCTCAGGTATTTCTTTATGGATTATCTTGAAATTTGATATGTGAAGTAAGAGTCCAGTGGAGCACATCCACGGAAAATATGTGATAGTTTCGATTACTACAATCTGAGCTACAAAAATTGGAAAATTGCTGAACTATCACTCCTGTTAACAACACACAGTGTATTTTGACACAGAGCAAAGTATTAGATCTGTTTGAAATAATAAGTATTAAATAATAACCGGGTGAACCCGGTGGTACAGAGTTAAGCCAAAAGGCTCACAGAGCTAGAATATATAGCCCAATGTAGTGCCCCCTCCCCCCCAGTGGTGCAGAGGTGGTAAGTCTGCGAATTTATAACTGTAAAAACCGGGTTTCGATACCCGTGGTAAACACACCACAGATAGCTCATTGTGTAGCTTTGTGTTTAACTACAAACAAAAAATAGCTACGTTTACGTTGGAAGAGATCTAAAAACTAAAACGTTCAAAAATTTCAATTCCAAACCCCAAAAAATATTCCTATATTCTTCTTTACCGAAATAAAAATTTAGAGCATTAATTATTATTATTATTATTTTCACGAACAAAGTAGTCTTAATAGAAAATAATAAAAATTATATAACCCTCAGTAAATCAGCTCTTTCACGGAATCGGTTTTAAAGGTAATAAGCATAAAACTGTCAAAATTAGTATGAAATTTAAAACACTCCTAAACTGGTTAGGTAACAAAATACTGATAAAAGAAAATTTGAATCAAGTTCTAACAATAAAGTTATTATTATTTAGATAGTTAATGATCAGTTGTGTGAAGTATTAGTGATCAGTTGGAATAAGATACAAGTGATTATTTAGTGTGAAGTATTAGTGATTATTTAGTTTGAAGTATTAGTGATCAGTTGGAATAAGATACAAGTGATCATTTAGTTGAAATAGTAGTGATTATTTAGTGTGAAGTATTAGCGATCATTTAGTGGGAAGTATTAGTGATCATTTAGTTGAAATATTAGTGATTATTTAGTTTGAAGTATTAGTGATCATTTAGTTGAAATATTAGTGATTATTTAGTGTGAAGTATTAGTGATCATTTAGTGTGAAGTATTAGTGATCATTTAGTTGAAATATTAGTGATTATTTAGTGTGAAGTATTAGTGATCATTTAGTGTGAAGTATTAGTGATCATTTAGTGTGAAGTACTAGTGATCATTTAGTGTGAAGTTTTAATGATCATTTAGTGTGAAGTATTAGGGATCGTTTAGTGAATTGATATATTTATAATTTAATTAATATCTAGTAGATCTTCCTTTCGCTTCGTGGTGTTCGTTGATCCTTTGAGGCATCGTGAGAATCATCTCATCAATTTTAGATTGTGGGATTTTCGCCCACTCTTGCTTCAAAACGTGGAGTAGATCGCTCTTCGAAGTTGGTTTTTTGGTCGTTTCTTGACTTGCCGGTCGAGTATGGCCCAGAGGTTTTCGATGGGGTTCATGTCAGGAGATTGGCTCGGCCAGGGCAACTTCTAGATACAATTTTCTTCCTGCCACTTTTGGGTGATTATGTGAATATGACTGAAAAAATTATTTTTTTCTGAAAAGTTGGTGTCTATTTACTTGTGACCACGCTGTGTATACGACCTGTTTTTATTTTCTACACAAAGTTAAATTCAAAATTATAAAAAACAATAATGAGCTAGACTAGCTTTAAAATATTTCTATAATCCTCGCATAATTCCGTATAATGGAGAAAACAATTATTTGGTATTTTGCGAAAACGAATTAGAAACAAATATTAAACGTAAGAAAAGCATAGTTTTCACATAGCTTAAGAGTTCATGTGACTCACGTACCTCATAGAAAGTGTACCAGTTTATTTTCAGCGACATTTAAGCAACATTGCGCTCTATATGACAAAAAACATTTATTTTTTATAGTTGCACTCTTTTAAAATCTATATAACTGTTTGCTCTTTGAGGGCGAAAATTAAAAAATCGTAAAATCTTCTTCTTTATTTGAAGTTAAGCACAAAGCTGCACAATGAGCTATCTGTGTTCTGCC